CCAAAAGCAATCGGGTAATGGTGATGATCGGGATCTTAAGCCGTAGCAACAATTAGCACTCCACCATATGCAGTTTTAAGGTGGGTTCCATCCACAATGATCACTTTTCTCATGACTCGAAAGCCTTGAATGGAAGCTCTCAATGCGAAAAACAAATACTTAAACTTTTGTTCCTCATCCACTTCCACATATGAAACTGTACCATGATTCATATTCTCTAATATGTACATATATGAATGTACAAGCCTAAAACCATCCTCTGGGGTACCTCGAATATTATTTGTAGCTTCTTTTTTCCCTCTCCACGCAGTAGAGTATGACACTTGCACACCAAATCGTCCTTGAACCAAATTAATAAGATCTTTTGGAGGTGGCATCGTAAGTTTACCCGGATAATCTTCAGCCAACAAAGAAGCAACCATAGTTGTTGTGCCTTTCCTTCTACTTCGCCGCCCGATACTTATACTTGACTGAGAGCATGAATGAATCTTTCTATGAGTTTGTATAGAAAAAGGCTTAGTCGTATCACCCCTCGCAGCTCGTATATACCAATCGCACCGATTATGTGCTTCTGAACATGCCACCACATATCTCAACGGCTCCGACTTCTTTACAACAAACTCAAAGACATTATTATGTCCAGCCTTTTCAACTAAACTTTGTATTGCTTCTTTGCTTCTAAATTCTTGGCCTACCGTAATATCAATCTCATCGTTCCATAAAATAGTTCCGGATGCATTCTCTTATACATCTTTATCTTCATTCTCCACCACCGCCGGATATTGTCGTAATGGTTCTCCAACGTACATAGCAAGGACACCACCACCACTATCATCCGCTCCACCAAAAAAGTCTCTTAGGGTTTAATGTCGTAAAAGAAGAGACATTTGGTAGGTTTGGATTTTAATGAGAGAAGAGAGAGAAATGATATGATTGGTTGAATAAAGAATGTGTCGGTATTAAATTAAATGTAGAATTAAAGGATAAGGGGTAGAGTTGGTTTATGAAAAAATTGGGAAGGATAGGGGCTAGTGAGAATAAAGAGGGGTTTTCCAAAAATTGATTTGATGGTGTCTCCTAAACCAATAGTATAATCATAGATAAATATATTTTCAGAAAATAGCATTACAATATTTTGATGTAGGTAAATTTATGTTTGTAGAAGAATTGCTTTAATTTCATGTCGTTTAATTTATCAATTTTTAGGACACAAATATCACTTAAAAGTTTTTTGGACAAAAATAGCACCTTATTTTTGATTTTTAAATTAATAAATAATTATAAATAAAAACCAAAAATCACAAATTCACTGTTAATATTTTCCCGCCAAAACCAAATCCCATCAAAATTTTCCCGCCAAAAAATATTTCCGTTAAAATTTCTCGCCAAAAAATTTTTCGCTCCCCGGGAAAAAAAATATCGTCCAAATTTTCCAGCCAAAAAAATTTATGTCCTACTTTCCCGCAAAAAGAAAACCCCAGAAATTTAGGAAGGATTTCACAAAATTTAGGAAGGATTTCACGAAATTTAGGAAGGACTTCACGAATCGTGAAACCCTTCCTGAATTACGTGGAATCCTTCCTGAAATTTATGAATTTATGAAATCCTTCCGAAATTACGTGGAATCCTTCCTGAATTTTTTGAATCGTTCCTGAATTTTGTGCAATCCTTTGAAGAATCTTTTCCTGAAATTCAAGGAATCCTTCCTGAATTTCGTAAAATCCTTCCTGAATCTCAAGGATTTTTTGGCAGAAAAATTTTGACGGAATTTTTTTTTTGCGGGAAAATGTTGAAATGTTTTTTGGCGGGAAACTATTTTTACATTTCGGAAATTTTTTGGTGGGAAAAATAAATTTTGGCGGGAAATTTCTAATTGTATTTATTTATATATTTTAATTAAACTAATTATTCATATTTAATATTTAATTAAAGTTTATAGTGCCGTTTATGGAATTTTTCAAATGTAGTGCTATTTTTGGAAGAAAAACTTATTTTAGTGCTATTTTTGTCAATCTCCCATTTTTTTTAGTAATTTATTTTCGATACCATAATATATTTATTTTAGGTACCACTATCCGGTTCAACGGTCAACCCAATCCGACCGCTCGGATCGGTCCGAACTTTAAAATATATACTGATGAAACAATTATTATTTCTAATATTCATAAACCAGATTGAAACCAAACTGAATACTAAACGAGTATGAATTAGGATTATCAATTTTATACCCAAAAAATATATGTACAAACATAATCTCGCACAGATATGTTTTACAAAACACTAGATCATAACCCCACACGTTACTATATCCTTTTATAAGTTTTGCGGGATAGTTTTTTCGTGGGTCAAAGTTTTTTAAAAACGAGGTGGAACCTGCTTAGAGGATGGGTTTGACCGGCTTGACAATCCGGTTCACAAAGTTTCAATCTTTTTTTGGCGGTTGTTTTATCCATTTTGATAGCTCACGAGTTAAATAAGAAATACAACTGAATACTAATCCAGTTGACAGTCGATTTCTGGTCCGAGCTTCATGGTGAAACCATTATTATTTCAAACATTCACAAACTGGATTGAAATCAAACCAATTTAAATTTGGGTTATAAATGCTATACCAAATAAATATATCTACAAACATATACGGTATATCTGTTATGAATGAGAAAATATAACATTTGTTCAATTTAACATTATAAATTTTATATAAATACAACTAATTTGTTTACAACACAAACAAAAAATTACTTTTATCATTTATCTATATACACTTCCCTTAGTCAATCATAATGCCCAATACTTATTCAAATTTTCTCTTCATTTTACACCGACATTTACATTTCTAAACTCTATGTTCCTATAACTTTGATTAAAATTGATACCGAAATCTAATTAAAACCAACTATTCACAAAAAATTACAAACAAAACAACTCTATACATAAATACACAACCACAAATATAACTTCGCACGTACGTGTGGGTCCGGATCTAGTTATCTATCAATTCAAGTCCCTTAAAAACCCCAATCCAATAACAACCCCTTATATTCTTTTTTTTAAAATTCAAAGCTTGGTAATGCGGAAAAAATCTACTTTTTTTACTATTGCATGGATGATATGATGGTTTATTTGTTTCACAAAAATAGAATCATATAAAAAGGAGAGATGGAGTATAATGATTAATAACAAATTAATATGCCAAATTAGATATTAAATCTTATATGTTCATTTTGATTGGTCATTTTTTTTTATTAATAATGTATTTTAATTTTATATTTAAATTAAATTAATTAAATTGAATAAATTTGTATTTGACATGTTTATCTTTAATGAAGTAAATTAATTTACTCTTTCAAAGTTGTATCTCTAATAGCATGGTTAAGTAATTACTTACAAAAGGTAAGGTTACTTTCTATTATGTACTCCCCAAATAATAGTACTGTATAAGATATCCCTATATATACCTAATTAAATCTTCATGACCATATATATATATATACTGCCAAAAGTTAAATCATAAACTATAAATCTTGAAATTTAAATTCTGAATCTTAGAAATTAATTCATCAACCATAACCACTAATAACTAACCATTATATTTTCTTCTAAAAACAATTTACTTGTAAATAGGGGAAAATTGACAAAATAGCACTAAAATATGTTTTTTTTTTCAAAAACAGCACCACACTTGCAAAGTTCTACAAATAGCACCCAAATCTTTAATTTTAAACCTTAGATTTAATTTTAATTAATTAATTATAGTAATTAAATTTAAAAAATAAAGAAAAAGTGAAAATTTCCAGCGAGAATTTATTTTTCTAGCCAAACAATTTCCATAACGTGTAAAAATTTTCATGCCAACCTTTGTTTGTCAAAATTTTTTCGCAAAGCCAAAAAAATCCCGTCAAAATTTTCTCGCAAAAAAATTTCACAAAATTCAGGAAGGATTCTACGAAATTCAGGAAAAGTTTCTAGAACTTCAAGAAATGATTATTTAAGAGATTCCATGAAATTCAGGATATTTAGGAAGGATTCCACGAAATTGAGGAAGGATTTCATAGAATCCTTTCTGAAGCTCAAAGAATTCTTCCTAAATTCCGTGGAATCCTTCCTAAATTTTGTGGAATTCTTTCATGAATTTCAAGAAATCTTTTCTGAATTTAGTGGAATCCTTTCTAAATTTTGTGGAATTCTTCCTAAATTTCGTGGATGTTTTTTGGCGGAAAAATTTTATTTTGCCGGAAAATTTTGGCAGAATTTTTTTTTGGCAGGATTATATTGATGAGAATTTTTGGGGATGAATTTGTATAATTTTATATTTTTCAATTATTAATTTTGAAAATTAGAATTTAAATAAGGAATATGCCACTAATAAGAGTGTAAGTGTAATAATTAGTTTTTATATGATATATTATCTCGATTTTCTTTTCAACATATGTATAAAGCAAAGATTTGATTTTGATTTTATGGTTTATTGTTAGCCTTCGATCATCATTATTTCTCTTTTTATCTCGAAAAATTCTACCATGAAAGATTGACCTATCTATATGCGAAACAAAAGGCTTAAGTGAAGATCCGAGGAAAATTTGCGGAGATAAAGTGATCTGATCCAGTTTGTAAGAGAGATTTTAATTTAAATTTTATCTTGAGTTTATCATTTATAACATTTAAAACAATGATATTACATTGTAAATGATTTCGGAAACCAAAGTTTTTCAGAAATGTATATTGGAAATGTATATATATATATATATATATATATATATATATATATATATAATTAATTTGGTGAAAAAAAAAATTAAAGGCTTGATTGACAAGTACAAAGCAAAAAAACTTCAAAAGCTTTGAAATAAATCCAATTAAGCTTTAGAAAATTTTACTTCTTTTAGCACAACCAAAATATTTCCTTAATTAATTTTTTTTGTTGTAGAAAGTTTTTTTTGTTTTAAAGCACCTTATTTTAAGCTTTCCAAAATTTTAAATCTACTATATATTTTTGCAACACTTTTAAGGAATCCAATCGGGTCAAAATTTTGTTTAATTTTGACCCGGAAATTTAATGTTTTTGACCCGGAATTAATACTCTCGGATCTTACCTTATTTGAGATTTTGATCCGAATTTCTCTCAATAGAATCATACCATATTTGATACTCGCTACATAAAATCGAATTTAGCTTTATTATTCCTACAAAAAAGGAAAACGAAATTAATATATAGATTTTGGAAATATATCACGATGACTGTATTTATAACATAAAACCAATATTTGACAATCAATTTGTTTCCTATTATAATGCTAAAGATATTGATGCAAATCACATATGTTTCCTATATAAAAGGTAAATAAAGATTTTTGGAACTAATTTTATAACAACTTTAATAATTAGTCATTTAGTTTTCTATTTCTAGCCAATTATGATTAAGTTGAAGAGATTTTGCTTGCTCACAAAGATTTTTTGCAAATGTATCACAGCTAAACCTAATCGTATATGTCCATTTCATTTCCAGCGAAAAACAACACTTCTAAACAGAACCAAAAATTATTTCAAAGACCTTCGATTCTTTTCATCCTAAATTACCTCTTTTTCATCTTTCATTCATATTGTTCTTCATGACATCAACAAAGATTTGACTGGCGATTCCGTGACGGAATCCTTAGAATCTGAAAGCACAAAGGAATTCAAAGAAAAACTATATAATTAGTTTTAGCGTATGAAAAGGTGGTTCAATAGATCTCTAGATAATTTTTGTCTATCATCTCTCTATGGATATTTCTCAAATCTTTTTGACTTATAGAATTAGTTTTGTTTTTCTGAATGGTTTCTTCTCTTGGTGATATATGGCATTGCGTTTTAATTTATATTTCGTATATTTGAATTGTAAGGTTGATAAGATTGCATCAACCTATAAAGAATGTCCAACCAATGATAACTCCCCTCATGTAGTTAGGTTTTCTCAAGTTTTATTGAATTTATAGTCTCACACACTCCTATCACTTTCATTAATAAAATATAAACAATCACACTTAAGTATATAAAAATATTTCTACTTGCAGGTCTAACAGAACATAACCAATGCAATTATTAGAACTCATATTTGAATCAGCTCAACACGTATATAATAAGTTCACTCATATGACATACATACACACTGAATTGGACGACAAAAGACCAAAACATTATTCCACTAAAAACAAAAAAAAAACACTAATCCACGATCCTTCTAACTTACCTAGCAAGTTGCAGGATTACACTCACTTACTAACCAAATTAAATGGCATCATTATATATGAAAATAAGAAATAATAGGAGACTCGACAAAGAAAGAAAGTGAGCATACTTGGCTGCAATCGAATCCATTGTGCAAGTGAAGGGTTTGTTATCATCTCCCAATTCATCAATCACAGGTTGACACAAGTATGGACCAAATCTGAAATGAAGAAGATGGTACTTAGTAGTTGCATAGCCACATAAATCATAAGAAATCAGTTTGATTAAGAGGTAACTAGAAACTAACTATAAATGGGAGAAGACGACATTTCACCAACCTTTTCTCATAAAGAATGGCAGATACATGACTAGCGAAAGTTTCTGGCTTCATGTCTCTTAATTCCCTAAGCTAATATAACTTCAGTCCCAAAGACAAATAAAAAACGAAGCCCTAAATTTTGTAATTGACCTAAAATTCTCCAAGGAAAGGAGTATGGAATAGTCACGAGAGCTTACAATGACTGGACATCAGTAGCAAAATCGAAAAGTTGTGGATCTTAGAGATTCACAAATAATCAGTAGCGATGGTTTGTAATTGCACACCATGCCTCCGATCACTGGCAATAGCGAAGCAGTTCTTCCCTTCCATAGCTACGACGGTACTTACAACGAACTCGAAGATATGAATCACCACACATTTTCGCTCTCCCCAATTTGGTTCAAGAGAGCTCCGTAGTGATGGAGTTTCTCTGTACTAGCAAAAGGCAAAAAACTATGGGCTGTTGTTATTGTTTTTAATTGGGCCGAATTTAAACACTAGCCTCTTAGGCATCGACTATTTTCATTTTTTCTGCATTTTAATAGAAAGCCCTTTTATAGTTAAAAAAAAAAAAATTCTATTCATTATTTACTTTTTTCTTCAACATAAGAGAGAGAGAGTGCATTGATCAATCAATGTTAGCTCTATGAATTAATAGCTGGATCAATATCCGAAAGAGACTGACAATTAACTTTGGAGTGTAACTAATACATGTCTTTTATTAATATAACGAATTCAACATTTAAACGTATATAAGATTCTTAGGCCTTAAATGGTAACATGATAACATTATTCAGCTGGATTCAGCCAGATTCAGCAATTCCGCAGTTACCATTTGCATAAAACTGAATTCAGCTATATTCAGCAGTTTTTTCAACACCAACAGATATGTAGTATGTTTATTTCAGGTAAAAATTCGGATTATAGCGATTACACAACTCGAATTAAAATATTTTGGACATAAAAAATTACACATCAAATATTAAAATAAGTTAGATCATACAAATACGATATATGAATAATTCAGATACATAAAATCATGAGAGATTGTTAATAATACCCCTTTTAAGATACCCCTTTTCAAAAATACCCCTTTTGAGAGTCCATTTTTAAGTTTGCCCTCTTTTAATTTTTAATGACAATTTTGACCCTTATTTGAAGCAAAATTAGGTCCACAAAATACAAAATATATTTTGGCGGGAAAAGTGATCCCACAAATTTTTTTTGCGGGAAAAGTGATTCCGCAATTTTTTTGGGCGAGAAAAATTCACAAGGTATTTTAAAGGTTTTACAGAGTATTTACAAGTGTTTTGTAAGGTTTTTACAATGTATTTTAAAAGGTTTTACAAGATACTTATTAGGTTTTATAAGGTATTTATAACTTGTAAAACCTTATAAAAAACTTGTAAAACCTTATAAAATAGCTTGTAAAATCTTATAATATCTTATAAATACCTTGTAAATACGTTGTAAAACCTTTTAAAATACATTGTAAAACCTTATAAATACCCTTTAAAACCTTTAAAATACCTTGTAAAATGTTCCCGCCAAAAATTTTCCCGCCAAAAATTTTTTTTGCGGGAACATTTTACAAAGTATTTTAAAGGTTTTACAAGTTTTTACAAAATCAAATTTTTAATTTTGATGTGTGCACATTCTCGTGTTTTCCTTATATACTAGGATACTAGGGGAGGTCCCCGCGCCCGGCGCGGGGTTGTATGTTGATTAAAACCAGATTTAGTCATTTAGGGTTATAAGTTTTAGACAATTATTGATTTAATTTTGTCAAGAGTATAATTTTTATAACGACATTAATATAGAATTATGGTAAAACGCCATAACGTTTGATATATTATTGCGAGAAAATAGTGATTATTATCCTCTGAATATAGTAAAATGCAAAACGGAAAACTAAAATCATTAGAACCAGAAAGTATAAATTTAGTAGTCTTGGTTTGCTCATCAACAACCAAAGATAATCAAAAGATCAAAATTGGATGTGTGACATTTGTCCTTTCTTCTTGTTGGAAAAGATATCTCGCATCCTCGTTACATCATGACAAGAATGATTGAATAGAATCTGCGAACACTTGTATGAAGCAGTACCTCTTCGTGTACCTTAATTATCAAAGGAATATAGTTTCAATGTCTCAAACCCCAACAATACATGTTAAATAACAAAACCAAAACAAAATACTTTCACTCATTTCAGTTCTTGCAAATCTGAATATACATATGGTAATGTCATCAATACATTGCCTCCACTCAGCGAAAAATTTATTGACATAAAACCACGGTAATCGATACCGGAGACGCTCACAACTACAAACAACAGAAATTTCGAAGGTACCAATAGTTCTTGACTTCAAATTTAATAATGTGACAATGACAATAATGTGACATCGACAATATTATGTTAACTTACAAAATCCTTCAATTTTTACAAGACATTGAAGTTTAAAGATTATGTTCATTTGGAAACTCCTTCCATTATCCTAAAGATATTGATGTCAAAACTCTTACGTTAATTTTGATATCATGCTCTTCCTCTCCAGACTATTTTAAATAATTGCCCACTCGTCAATGACTGGCTTCTTGGGAGCAAATTCAATCTGATGAGTGTTGTTTTTGTACTTTTGTAACAGAGTATGGGATCACCTCCTGCTCCTCTGTGAGATCTTTCGAGGTATGGAATTTGGTTTTCTCTAGGATTTATCTTCGACAAAGATTGTTTTGATTTTGGACTGAGATACTTCTTGGACCGACACTCTTCTACCCATGAGATACTTAAATAATTGTCAACTCGTCAAAGATTGGGTTCTTGGGAGCAAATTCAATCAAATGAGTGTTGTCTATGCACTTTTTCAGCGGAGTCTCGGGATCACCTCATGCTCCTCTGTGAGCTCTTCCTAGGTGTGGAATTTAGTTTTCGCTAGGCTTTATCCTCGACAAAGGTTGTTGTGCTCCTGGACTAAGCTACTTTCTTGGATCCGGCACTCTTTCTCTCTAGAGTCACTTAAATATTTGCCGACTCGTAAAAGACTGGCTTCTTGGGGACAAATTTAATCCGATGAGTGTTGTCTTTGTACTTTTGTAACGGAGTCCCGAGATCACCTCTTGCTCCTCTGTGAGCTCTTCCCAGGTGTGAAATTTAGTTTTCTATAGGTTTTTTCCTCGACAAAGGTTATTTTGCTCTTGGCCTGAGCTACTTTCATGGACCGTCGAGAGTCACTTAAATAATTGCCCACTCATCAAAGACTGGCTTCTTGGGGCCAAGTGCTGTATTTTCACTTTTGCAACAGAGTCTCGGGATCACCTCGTGTTCTTCTGTGAGATTTTTCAAGGTGTGGAATTTGGTTTTCTCTAGGATTTATCCTCCACAAAGGTTGTTTTGCTCTTGGGTTGAGCTACTTTTTTGGCACCTGGCGCTCTTTTTCTGTTGAGACACTTAAATAAATCTCGCTCCAATCGTCCTCTTCAGTCGTTAAAGACTGGTTTCCTGGGGACAAATTCAATTCGAGGAGTGTTGTCTACGCACTTTTGCAACGGAGTCTCAGGATCACCTCATGCTCCTCTGTGAGCTCTTTCGAGGTGGGAAATTTGATTTTCTCTAGGCCTTATCCTTAACAAAGGTTGTTTTAATCTTGGGATGAGCTACTTTATTGGACCCAACGCTCTTCCTCTCCTTACACTTTTAAATAATTGCCGACTCGTAAAAGACTGCTTCTTGGAGATAAATTCAATCCGATGAGTGTTGTCTTTGTACTTTTGCAACAGAGTCTCGAGATCACCTCTTGCTCCTCTGTGAGCTCTTCCCAGGTGTGTAATTTAGTTTTCTCTAGGCTTTGTCCTCGACAAAGGTTGTTTTGCTCTTGGCTTGAGCTACTTTCTTGAACCGTCGAGAGTCACTTAAATAATTGTCCACTCATCAAAGACTGGCTTCTTGGGGGCAAGTGTTGTATTTGCACTTTTGCAACGGAGTCTCGGGATCACCTCGTGTTCCTCTGTGAGCTTTTTCAAGGTGTGGAATTTGGTTTTCTCTAGGATTTATCCTCCACAAAGGTTGTTTTGCTCTTGGGTTGAGCTACTTTCTGGTACCTGACGCTCTTCTTCTATTGAGACACTTAAATAAATCTCCAATCATCCTCTCCAGTCGTTAAAGACTGGTTTCCTAGGGAAAAATTCAATCCGATGAGTGTTGTCTATGCACTTTTGCTACGGAGTCTCAGGATCACATCCTGCTCCTCTATGAGCTTTTCTGAGGTGGGAAATTTGATTTTCTCTAGGCCTTATCCTCAACAAAGGTTGTTATACTCTTGGGCTGAGCTACTTTATTGGACCCAACGCTCTTCCTCTCCTTACACTTTTAAAGAATTGCCCACACATCAAAGACTGGCTTCTTGGGAACAAATTCAATCTGATGAGTGTTGTCTTTACACTTTTGCAACAGAGTCTCGGTATCACCTCATGCTCCTCTGTGAGCTCTTCCCAGGTGTGGAATTTAGTTTTCTCTAGGCTTTGTTCTCGACAAAAGTTGTTTTGCTCTTAGGCTGAGTTACTTTCTTTGTCCTAACGCTCTTCCTCTCCAGAGTCACTTAAATAATTGCCCACTCGTCAAAGACTGGCTTCTTGAGGACAAATTCAATCTGATGAGTGTCGTCTTTGCATTTTTGTAACGAAGTCTCATGATCACCTTCTGCTCCTTTGTGAGCTCTTTCCAGGAGTGGAATTTAGTTTTCTCTAGGATTTTTCCACAACAAAGGTTGTTTTGCTCTTGGATTGAGCTATTTTCTTGGACCTGACGCTCTTCCAGTCATGTGCCTTCTTTGCTTAGAAAAGTAGCATCTCAAGTGGTGGTTTATAAGTTCTGGCGACAGCGTAATAACATTCTCCATAACTCCTTGCGGCTTGCTGCTCAAATCATTTTCAAGATGGTGGAGTGGAGCTACGAAACATCATCACTTCGAGATGAACAAAGCTTATGCTTATTTGGATTCGTTATCTATTTCCAAATCTTTCTTTACTCTACTGTAGTCTTGTTTTTATCTCTTTTTTGCCAAGGTTGCTTTTGTGTAATTATTTATCTTTTGTAAAGCCTCAAACTTCATTTTAGATCATATTTACATGTTTAGGAAAAAAATAATTCGGAAAAATGGAAACAAAAAAAATAGATAAGCTTAGTAACTAATAAAAATTTATGTGATCCTTAGCACAAAACAACTCTGCATTCCTGCAACTTTCAGCACACATATTTTTTAGCATCATTCGGGTGCCATTGCAAACAATAGTAGCCAAAACCATAAGAAACAATATCATAGAAATGTGATCGACTAATAAATATTCAGAAATTATATATACATGAAAAACAACAATATTCGAATACCTCGAGTGACTTCTATTCTAGTGAATCTCATGATAAATATGGTGATATTATCACATTGTTTACTCCGTTCTCTCAAAAATTTACAACAGTATCCACCATGTAGTCGACATTATAGACGTAAATTTATTATAAAATTATGTTTTTAGTATACTACCCAAATTAAACTATAACAAATCTAATTTTGACTAAATTAATAACTTACAATTCATCTTCTAATTCCACATAAACTTGATCCCACACTTTATTATTGGTTTTCCGTCTTCAATATTGCTAACACTCACGACCCAACCAATTAAATATAATTATTTAAATTAATAGATCAAACCGTAACAATGCAAAGAATAAAATATCCAAACAAAAGATATTATGGGACCAGGGAAATAAACATACTCAAAATTAAGTATCAATTTTCCTAAAAGATGCGAATGCGCAGTAATCAATCGCACCCAAGGAAGGTATATGTGAAACAAAGATTGATAAATTCCAATGAATTTTAAAATCATAAAAAGTATGACTAAGCAAACCGATAACATGAATCAAAATCTCTAAGTGTTATCCATCCAGGGCCTGCCCTGAGATTTGAAGGGCCAAATACTCAAAAAAAAGTTTTTGGTTATTTTGAAAGGTTTTAAAATTTAGGGCCAATTATAGTAAAATAAATAAAATTAGGTCCGTTTCATAAATAATTTTTGTTGAAGAATTTCAGAAACAAAATTTGGGTTACAGCAAAAGTTTCTTGTTGATGTCTATAGGGCCGGCCATGTATCTATCGTCCTTGGAAAAACCTGAATCCACGATGACGATAATACTCTCTATCAATTATAGTATGTATGTCGTGACCCTAACAAACAAAATAAAATTGTTAAAGGTATAGCAATCTTTCAGCAAACAATTTATTTTATTAGAAAAACCAAAAATCTGTATAACCTCTGTATCAGTATAAGTTGGAACATATCGTCCAAGATCGAAGAACACTTAAACCTATTAAGTATCTATACTCAGATACTTTGATTTTACAAGGGAGCACTGAAGGGTGCAGATATGACACTCATGCTACGATAAAATCTTTCAAAGCATTTCTTGCTCATCTTCGGGGTTTTGTCCCATATTACGAGCCTAGCTAATCTAATCAAATATACATGATGAGAATATGTCTTTATCAAGTAAGTAGTGGATTGATTAGGGTTAAGTGGTATACCAAACCTCCTTAATTAAGACTCTTGGTCTCTTAGTCTGTGTTTCTATACCCTCTGTTTTACGTCTTTGTAAAGGAAGAATCTAGATTATTCCACTTCATGACGTATTAATTAAATTTTCCAACATGCTATTTTTACATTTCACTGAATCGTTTGCTTCGCGGAACCGTTTCCTTCAAACATTGAGAAAAAAAATCATCATTATTTGATGTTCTAAAACTGAACAACAGAGCAGATGCAGGTATATCATGGATATTGAGGCTTAGAGTTGATACAAAGTTGTTTCTTAAAGATTTACCTTGCTTTGATTTTAGTCTTTTCTCTCTGTCACATTTCCCCTTAGCACTGTCTGTTTTCTAGAAGTAGCAGACACAGTCAAAGGTGTCTGTTTCCTTTGAGCGTCAGAGCATAATCATTTCCCTACAAACCATGCGATACAATAATTAGCATTTTTCATCTATAGTATCATGTCTGATAATCAATACCTTAATGGGATTGCTTTCAATACATGTATGAGATATGTTTTTCCGCAATTTCTTGCTCCGTGGGCGATGACATTAGCATCTTTACCCTCAAAGACAGTAGAGATAAGAGGCTTTATCTCCTTTGATAGAATGAAACCTGTGATTCTGTTTTTTTTTGTAGCAATAGTCCAATTTATATGAATCTTTCGAACTGCCACAACACAATAGTTAATATGGCTTGAAACGTTGCTAATCCACAACAGACTGTGAAAGATTTAACTCAAAACTCAAAAGTATATTCTACTCGGTGAGAACATTTTTGTAAAATTAGAAAATCGATAAATTAAAGATAAAAGATCAATTGAAACATCACCTGAATCTTCTTCATGCATCGTGGTTGCTTTCATTCATCCAAAACATACAATCGTTTAAAAAAACAAACACTATTAGAATTTATAGTAACGAAAATAATATGTATAGCCAAAAAAACAAGAAGATGAGCATACCAAGGCTCCTCGGAGGCAACGATTGGTGTCTGAAAATTTTAGCAGCGTTGTGCCTCTTGTTGGTTGGAATTGGAACACCAGCTGGTGTATAAGGATCACACATAACCTGCATGTATCAATAATCAATAATTTCATGGATCTGATATAGTTCCAATTGAATTTGGTACACTAATCAGATAAAACAAACCATGAATTTGGTACACCAGCCTTTATTGAAGTTTAATATAATAATTGATGATTAAGCGTTACATAGATGGATAAAGACGTGACAATAAAAAAAGATAGATAAAAGCAAGTTTTACGTTTTTACACGCCTTGATTCAAGGAAAGACACCGAAATACCCCGTGAAACAAACCATGTTCATACCTAAATGAAAAATCCATAAAGAGATCATTATTTAAAAAAAGAGATAAAACTTCTGATCGCATCAATACAAAGAAATAATAATAATTGAGACTCCTGGTGAAAGATAATCAGAGAGAAGCAAGAGAAAAAGAAGAGTTCCCAACGATTATAGTCTATTGGGGTTGTTGAGAGGCCGTAATTTGCATCATGATGGAACCAATAATCAAATTGATATCAAATTATGTAAATACAAAATCAAAGCTTCTTTTTTTTTAGTGAAGAATATGGTAAATACAAAATCAAAGCTTCTTTTTTTTTTTTAGTGAAGAATATGAAATCTAAGCTGCTCGCAAAATATTATGGGAAAGCTTATAGATTTCTCAATACACCAAGCATAATTTAAATATTAAACATGAAAGTACTAAAGTGAAAAACTCACCATATGTTCGATTGAATCAACAATTTAATTGTCCTGGAATTGTTTAACGACGTTGCATCCGTAACCTATAACAATACATAAACACCATGAATTCATATGTGTAAAGCCAAATAAAATAAAACGCAAAAAAAAAAAAAGCAAAAAAAATGGGGTTAGTTATGATTTGAAAGTGAAACCTAGAGAAGGTATTTATATTAAACTGAAAGGCGGTGTACGATCTAATTTTTTTAATTTTTGAAGATAATTACAACAACAAGAAATGAAGATTTATATATTGTGTTAGATCAAATCTTTATCAAAACAATTAATATTCCTAAAAACAATTAATAACTACTATGGATATTAATTATAAAAAAATATTCCTTATTTTATTTGTTAAAAAATGGAACAATAACATAATTTTTTTTAGATTTACAATTATATTTGACATTTATTTAGATACACCATCATTATCGGTATAAAATATAAAAGAAAGTTTCTTTTATTTTATCAGATTTGTGAATTTAAAGAATATATGATAGTTGTTTTGATATTATCGGCAATATCTATATATTTTAGAAAAGTAAATTTTACTTTTAAAAAAAATTGGCTCGTAATTATCACAACATAAATTTACCATTAATATATCAAAAATATAATTAAACGATTAATTATGAGAAACATCTTTTGTTGAAAAAAAAAAAGAACCAAAAAGGAAAAAAAAAACACGGAAAAGGAAGAGAAAATAAGAAGACACGACCAATCCTTTCTCCGACGTAATTGTATGTGACTCACGACCATGATTAGATTGGTGGAGATTAATCATTGGATGTTCTTGGTCAAACGATAAACCGTCATAAAAAAGGTATGTAAACTACATTTGATCCAAATTTATTTATTTTTTTCATTTTTTCGTGTTTAAGAATATTACTATTTTTTTAAATGTAAAATATATCGAATTTTTATATTTTAGGGTCAGTTAATTTTTTAATTTTAATTAATATTCGAATTAATTTAATAGAAGGTATTTAAGTAATTACGCAAAATCAAGAGCTCAACAAGAGCCGAGAGTCCGACACGTCAGCAAAAACACTTCTCAAATATTGTTATTATAGATAGATTTTTTCGTGTTTAAGAATATTACTATTTTTTTAAATGTAAAATATATCGAATTTTTATATTTTAGGGTCAGTTAATTTTTTAATTTTAATTAATATTCGAATTAATTTAATAGAAGGTATTTAAGTAATTACGCAAAATCAAGAGCTCAACAAGAGCCGAGAGTCCGACACGTCAGCAAAAACACTTCTCAAATATTGTTATTATAGATAGATTTGGTATATTTTTTAATTTTACTATAATTTTTGGTCACATCCTAATAATTGTCCCTTAATTAAACACTTATAACACAAACCATTAGACTAAAAATCATGGATAAACTTATATACATTACTTTTTCTTTTTCGAATTATAATATACATGTCTTGCTA